TGGAATGTAGCTAGCAGTTTGACATGTGGGTCGGTGCTGGTTGTTATGTAGTGAGCTGTTTTTATCTTTGTTACTTTGTACAACATTTTAATCTGTTGTATACCTTTGCCTCCTTTGTGAAAGGGGAGGTAGAGTATAGCATTGGACTCGTGGTTATGTTTGAAGTGGTTTTCGTTCATTATTTTTCGTGTTTTTCTGTCGAGTTCTTGTAGAGGTTGAATGTTCTAGTCAGTTGTCCACATGTGATATAAAAGAACTGGGTTTGCAAACAGGTTTGTAACTTTGATCTTTGGCGGGCGCTAACCATGTGCCCCAAACAGTATAAAATAACAATAATTAGGAAATTCCACTATTGCCTAGCMTATTTTACGTGCTTTCCTGCTGCAACATGTTTGTATGTTTTGTAATTTCCTGTTAATAGTCCATATAAACTGTTGTAATAATACTCATTTGTAAACTCMCTGAAGAAGTCWGTTGCTTAATTACAGASGAAACGCGTCGGAGTAATAAAAAAGTTTACGAAACCTAAGGAAAGATCAGTTGTTCATTTGTGCTGCTCACCTGTACACTTTAAAAAAWTTATTTGAAAAAATTRTAAAAAATTAAATAAATTGYAAAAAAAATTATWAAAAAATTGTAATAAAAAAATTGTAATGAAAATCGGAAATCAGAAGTCGGAAATCGGATATCAGAAGTCGAGAACCGGATATCAGAAGTCGGAAATCGGATATCAGAAGTCGGAAATCGGAAATCAGAAGTCGGAAATCAGAAATAGGAAATSCGAAATCGGAAGGCCCTCCTCGGCCATCGTAGTTATTATGGTGGGGCACTAGGCAGGGGTTTGGTCGGAATTAGTTCAATCATTTAGAAGAGACCTGGAAACTAATAGTCCTAATAGGTGGAGTCCTGGAAACGAATTATCACTTTCAAGATGGCTGACTTCAATGGATGGATTGGTTCTTGATATTAAACTTTTCAAAATTAGTACTTACTTAAAGGACTTTAAARTTATTGAAAGCAAATATTTAAAAAGAATTTAATAGTTTTAAAGCTCGTACGTTTCATGGTGCCAAATCTCTCTTCYCTGTTCATGACCAATTTAATATAGCTTGATATAGCTTTCCATGCACCGAACTTAAATACATCAAAAAATGCCGCCTCATTATTTTTAATRAGTTCGGTGCATGGAAAGTTCGACGTTTGCCCTAGCCCTAAGATATTTTTTGACATTTTTAGCGCACATGAAAGAGATCAACGTTAACTTAGCAACTTTGAGAGAGCAATGCTAATAAATGTAAACAATATACAGTCACTGTACCTATATATAAAACGATCATATTATACATTTCAGCTATTTTAATATACTCACATGTTTTGACTTTTGCAAATGATAGCATTTTAATAAACTGATTAATTTTCCTTTTAATAATAACTGATTGACTCTATACCATAAAACAAGCCATGAAGCCACTCAAAGTGTGGAGCAGCGATAGAAGAAAAAAGTATGTTGTGGTATATGATGGTTTAAAAGAATTGAGGAATGTAGATGAGTTTCAAGAGTCTGATGATGTTTTTTGTACCTGTGGAGGCCCTTTCACTTTCAAATGATAGTGATTTATTTTATTTTATACCCAATCAAGCCTCAAACATCTCTTCTATCAATTTATAAACATATAGTTTTCATATCTTTTTCCTATCCTGCATGCTTTAGCTGTTTTTGGACTTCTTTGATTCAACTGAAAATTTGCATACTTTTGAGGTCGCCGCTAGGCCAACRGTTTTTCTCGGATTCTGAGAATTTTAGCGGTTTTTTGAAAAACTAACTAAACCACGTTTGTTTACTCGGTAATAACTTCCGGCAAACCAAAAATGAGCAAAATCGAAATTTTGACTGTGACCGGCCGATGTTCGATATAAGTGGACCTTTGCTCTTAAAATTCCATAKGATCTTGACCCTTTCGTTTTCCACTACTTYCTCTAGTTCTTGATCCCACCAATTATCTGCAGTGCACTTTGCTTTTTTCTCTCTTCTCTTTCTTTTTACTCTTCTCTCTCTTTCCAATACAGGGCTTCCTGTGTTAGCTGAGCATCGACTTTCTTTCCCTCCCCCRCTCGCCTT